GCAATCTTCACAACGTCGTACTGCTTAGTAACATAGTCTCATAAGGTCTACACCTACCATCTCATTAGGACAGTCTACATTCATATGTCGTAACGGAGCACAGTTGAAGAACCAGGGATATTTAAGGGAGTCACAGCCCTGCGTATCTTGCGTACACCCCTTCCTTGGTGTGGTCATCAGAAGCGCCGTTGCAGTGATGCATCCATTTTTTATTATTCCCCTCACGCCACAGGCTGTTTAACACACCTTTGACCACCGATCGCGATTGAATGACAACATCCTCTTCATCAGACATTGTGCTCCATATCCTTTTCCACCCGCCTCCCTACTCTTCCGCTTGTCCATGCCTTAAAGGCATCTTTTTTTAAACAAGTGCTCCACCAGAATCATTCGCTTGCGCCATCTCTCAGTGTCCATACTTCGCACTTTGTAGGCTAACCACAGCAACTTGTTACATGTTGCACGAAGGGCTGTTCCTGTGGTCACAGGGAGTGGTGGAATCCGATCTAGCTTCTTTGCATTTGCGTGTTGTTTACTTTGCCGGCGTTAGCCTAAGTAGTCGTATTCCTTCAATTAGTCCCGCTAGAGCGCAAATTGTCCTTCTGGACCATTAAACTTTCGTGCTCATTAAAGCCGACCGATGGCCGAAAGCACAAAGCGTTTGCCTTGAAACCTGGACGTCACTTGTCCGAGTCTGCATACTGGACCGGGCGATCTTTAGCCCACACGCGACTGATGGCAGTTGCGTGGCTGCGACGCATCGGTACTGCGTGCCGTCGTACTACTGATGTCTTTGTTTGTAGTCATCATAGGGTTATTATACTCAGTTTTATGAAGAATTCCTCCCTCTCTTTCCAACTGAGGCTCTTGCCACTTTTGGGTATCACTCCATCTCATCGAGCCTTTTCAGGAGTGCATTCTATTCAGTCGATCGATGCATTCTGTTCGAAATACTTGCGCGAAAGTGTTCCCGTGGAATATGTGAACATTTCGCATGTTCTGTAGTCGAATACTACAGGCCGCGTCAGAGTCTACGTTGATCTGTCGGATAGCTTTCCGACAAGTGGCGTTTGTCAAGGTTGCCCGATTTCCCCAATTTTCTTCCATTTCATCGTGGACTGCATCATGGAGTTTTCCTTGCGGAATCTCACGATGCGGGCGTTGAGGTGTTGCTTAGTGAAAGGCTAGTTGATCTTGGTTATGCGGACGGTATCGTCCTGATGTTTAACCATTTTGGGGAGGCGCAACCAACCCTGAATAGCCTGTCTAGAGTGGTCCCATTATTTAGTTGCTGCAGGACCACCAGCCACTTGATGGCTGCTTGACCCTAGGTAGCTATGAACTCGAGGTAGTTGATCAATTCACTTGATAACTGTATCAGCAACGATGGGTACATAGCTACTGAGGTCAGCTCACGTATTGCAGAAGCTAGAACTGCCTTTTTGAATCTGCGACATCTGTGGCAACAGAAAGGTGTTCCCCTCCGTTTTAAAGACCCTGTTTCCAAGGCCACATTGAGGGGGATGTCCTACTCTATCAGAGCAAAACTTGGCCCCTTCGGTCCGAGGTTCTGAGGCGCCTCTAAGTATTTGGTCATTGCTGGCTTCGAGTGGCACCAGCGTGTCCTCAACAATGATGTGCGTAGGCGAGTACTCGATAGTGGTAATCATGCTAGCTCCTTAGAACAACATATAGCACTTAATAATTTGCGTTGGCTTGGACACGTATTACGTATGCCCGGTCACCGCTTACTGAGGAGGCCCGTCTTTTGTCTGCCAGATGTAGGGTGGCGCAAGGCTCGAGGTGAACAGAAGTTGACTAAACAGCGTAAAATGAAGACACTGACTACCAAACTTGGTGCCATTGGTCCGTCTCGCCTTCCAGGGTGAAGTCCATGTGACCCGCTTTGTGCTTGGCTCGCAGTCGACAGCAGTGGCGTGTCTGCTGCCGTCTCCCAGTCGGACTGCCTGTTCAAAGTGTGTTTGGTGGTGAGTTGTCCGCGGGGTAATGGCTGATTATGACTTGGGGCAGTGAAGAGCGCAAGGAAGCTGTCTCGCTGATGCTGACTTATCTTTGCACGATAGCCAGTTTTTTTCCTGGCGCTATGTCATTAACACAAGGTGTAGGCGCCTTAACGTTTGCTTAGGGCATTGAGTTTCTCCGGTAAGTCCTTCTCTCTTTCTTGTTCTTTTTTCCGTAGGTCATTATGGTTGTATGGCAGCGAACCATCAGTTCCAATGGTTGATGTACTGTTTTTGACGATGATGATGATGAGCGTTTTCTGTGTCAAGATGTCTCCAGTGGTGTAATCATTCGCGTCTGTGCTTAAAGTTAACTCTTGAACGGAAGTGACACATTATTACATGACCCATACAAATAGGATCACCCGCCACTGGAAAGGTTCCTGGTATTCTGCTGACCATTCAAAGGTACAACCTTTTTATCGCAATGCCTCCTGTGTCGCGGCAATTGCGAAATAGCACTTGATAAATCGCCGGCAGTGTGAAGCCTGTCCGAGAAAACTACGTGACTACTCAGTGTTGTTAGTTGGTCGAGACATCCCTTGCTTCGTTTTGTGAGCATCCGGTCGAATACCCGACTCCGAGATGAGCTGCCCCAGATGTACCACTTCTTCTCGCAGTCCGTGACAGTTTGACGGTTTGCGTTTGAGACACACCCCGAACAGGCGCTTTGGTACTTCGGTCAGGTTGTGCTTTTTTTCTCATGCACGATAACATCGTCCAGGTAGGTGATGAATTACTGCGGGATCACCTCATACATTACCATTCGTGTCAGACGCTCAAAAATCGCAGAGGCTTTGACAATCTAAATGGTGAGGAGGACAGTTTGCGCTCATTTGCTCTCTGCAACTTCGACGTACTATTAGCCAAAGGCAAGATTAAATGTGCTAAAGCGCGTTGAGCCGCCAAGTGCGTCGAAAAGTCATCATTTCTGGGGAAGAGAAAGGCATCTCTTTGAGTTACTTGGTTGAGACGAGTGTAGTTCACACACAGGAACTATAGGTGATGCCCATGGAGAGATGGTTTGTTGAACAATATTTTTCTTCAGCATCTCATCGATTATATTCTATATCTCACTCTGCCAGTGAGCTGGAATCCGTCTTATTGAGCACTTCACTGGTTTAGCATATTCGATTTCACAAAATTCCCTGTTCCCACGCATTAGCATCAGCAATACGTCGGCACATTGTTTAGACGCTTCGTTGCCACTCGACAGCCACCAGTTGCGCACGGGCTGCAGGGTCGGCCGCGCCTACGCAGATTCGAACTGGTAACTGTTGAAGTACAAGATAAGCACCATAACCTTTCGGCCATCAGCGGACTGTTCCAATGCGAAAGAATCCGAATGCTTCTGCTGAATGCCTTCCAAATGCTTCGGGATACGCTCGTTACTAGAATACCTGAGCGAATGTATCAACTCGCACAGACATGAGTTGCGTTCCGTAGTCTCACCGGATGCGCACTCATGCGCAACGCGTCCGTGGGAGTTCAATGGTCAATCTTGAGTTCACCAACTCTAACTGTCGCCTCACCTTGTACAGGAAGTTTGTCGTATTAATGACGAAAAATGGGTGTGGTAAGCTATGATACATCGACGTTGCATTATCCGGTCGGCGATAAAGACTGACGCCAAGATAGATTTATGCTTGGATGACATCCCCTCATTGACGGCACTCAAATGGCAACTGAACGGCAGCGTAAGCACATCAATGTTTAGGGGGATCTTACACGCCCTTTGAACCCGACCTCCGTCGCATGTGAGAGATTTAGCATTGCTGGAGGACTCAACTATTCGCTGAACGTGGCGTATTTTTTGTTCCTAACTGCGAGCACTACTTTGATGTGGTCCTCCACTCGACGCCTCTCAAAATAGCTTGAGTTCAGTTACCATGGGCTACTTAATTCGATAATATGTCTACGACGACTCATTGTATTTATTCAAGATCGAACAATCAATGACTGTTGGTGCAAGTGTTGCCCGGTGCGGTGTCAGCTATCTCCAGCTTTTCACGCTGCTGCGCCACCCTACGGTTAAGGCTTAGATTTTCTCCAAGAGCTCTTCCCAAACATACTTATTGCACTGTTTCCACGTTACCACATTTTGTTAGCTGCCTCAATTCAGGTGGGAAAATCCGAATGGTTTCACTAGATTGCTGGTATTGCGCAGGGAACTGCGGACGAATTTAAATCGGCTGGTATCCGTTAGACAGAACGAAGTACCGATTGTGATGCTTAACCTTATTTTCTGCTCCCAAACCCCGAGTTTCTGTCTGTTGTATGTTCACTATATAACATTTACAATGTTTCGGAATACTGGTAGCTCGAGTTGATGATTCAATTGTCCATTTGTTCTCCGAGCTTGACGGTTTGGTTGACGCAACCAAGCCACTAAGCTCGAAGGACAACTGAACCTTTCTAAGTTCTAATTAATGGTCAAGTAACAAGCACAGGCGTTTTCCATCTTGCATCCACCATTGTTCATGTGATTCATTTATCACGAGCTCTGTATTTTCGACCATCTCACTTTCTTGGAATGTGTGAGGGTGCTTACACATGGCACTTCCTGGACTGCGTATCCTGTGGTCATATGTCTTACCTTGGTTGTTGACCCTTGTTAAATCAGTCACAAAATGATCGACCACGTGCAATCACGCTTACCATGTTGGTGTGACCCGAGGTTCTCAGACGTAGCGCACCCAAACATTCGCATTCCTTAGAGCGTAATCGCTAACGGTTTCAGGCTCGTCCACCCTACACCGTTCGAACTTGTTTTCGCTCTTTAAACAGGTCCTGCTTGACTTTTTTTCAATTTTTCCTTCGGTTCATTCATTTGTCTGCTGCACAGATTGGCCCCTTGCACTCGGTTCTTGGCCATTTTGTTGGTGTGCAATGCACGCAACATCATCGGGGACAATTACCAGATTAATGGAACAAGTAAAGTATGGTTAATTTGAACCGAATTAGTCAAGTATTCTTTGCATGTGTATCGTCGATTTGGACGCAAGGTTGGCTTCTGACTATAGGACCTCCTCTCATTACAGTCGACTCGGAGCCACATAGGCGGATTCCTTCAGTCTGCATTATTTATCTCTGGAACACATGTCTAAAAACCTCCATGAAATCCGAAGCTGCGCATCGCGCCTTCACTTGGCCTCTCACTACCAAACATCGATAACGTGCGTGCTTTTTCCATTTATCGCTTGGTTCCTATCTGTTCCATCACCATCATCACATTTCGCACATAATGAAACAAGCACACAATGTTGACCTCACAATCACCTCCGTAGCTGACCTATCTCTACCTCGTTGTTATCATGCATACACCATTGATCGCTTTTTCACTCGCACCTTGGTATAGGGACTTTCGTGTTAACGTGGTGATTCGCTGTGTTCTCAGCTGTCCATTCCGCGTCAGCTGAAGCGAAAGTTGTGCCACTCCGTCAGAGTAGTTCAATCTGTGTCCAATGTGCACCGGAAATGAGACTGTATCGATCACTCACCACACCATTACAGCAAACTCTTTATTGTCTCCTGCCTCACATTCCCGCTCTTAACTCATTCACACACCGTACTTCCCTTCACGCCTACCAGTAACTGCCATGAGTTGCCCAGCCAAAATGACCTCATTCGTCCATCTGAAGATTTCCGAAAGCGTTTTTTCAGGCACGTATATACGAGTATTGTGTCCTGATAAGTGGTAATGTCCACCGGGATTTGTAAAAAGAAATCAGTGAATAAGGGAGTGATATAAAAAGGCACCATAGATTTTGCTTAGCGTCAACCGTGTAAGCACAAACTCTTTATTGGGATCCACTGGGCACATATATAGAGCCTTGTTGACAAGCAAGGTTACTGATTGGAAAATTTTTATAGCCTGTCCATTTGTCTATGCCAATGGGCAACCACTAGGGGTTGTCTATTCCAACGGTTTTGTAACCGACGGTGAACTCTTCGATAAGCTCAAAAGTAGGACTTCTGATAACGCAGCGCAGTTAGTGGGATGCACAGATCAGCCACATTGTCACCGTGTTGTTCTTAGATTTTGCAACCCACCACTTATATCCGCCTTGTACTGTTTGGCGCCCCACTGAAATTGGAATTTTTACCGAATGCGCTGGGCAATTCCACTTTTTTGTATCTAAATCGATTTATTACTTACCATCGCAATGAGACTGGACCGTACCGTGGTGCGATGGTTAGCATGCCTCAGAGATCCATTGAGCTATGCTGGGTGGTGCTTTTTTGCACCTTCAAAGCCACTCATAGCAGATTGGTCAGTGGTCAGAGGCCACACAAACTCAGCCTCCTGGTCCTCCGGGTTAGAGTCAGGGTGACTCCTTACTCCATAAAACGCGCTCTCTGTAGTCCATCGGCAAAACCCTGCTGCCTTGCGGTCAGGTTTTTGTACCAGACTTTGGTTGAGAACCCTAGTCGTTCTCCTGTCTAGGCCTGGGCAACCTGACAGTATCCTGCCCACGCAATACTGAATCATTCGTCAAACGGTTTCCTGATGCTCTGGCCACCGCAGAGGATAATCAACGGTGCCCTATCTGTTGCATCGAGCAGGGTGGATAGGGGTTTGGTTGCTACTGCTCAAGCCTTCCCGTCTTCTTACTCCCTCTCTTATTCTTTTCCACCCTTATCGTCCCGTCCAGCCTTCCTGCCCTCTTATTCATCCTTACACTTTTTCACCATTGTGATCCCGTTCCAACTTCTTTTATCCTTCCAGTTTTCAACCCCTCGATTCTTGGCTCTCCCCCAACTTGCTTTGCCACGCATTGATCTTCTAGTTTCAACTCACATGCAAACGCGGAGCGTCACTCCTTTCTTGTCGACAAGCCCATGTCCAACCAAGCGATCCACCCCAGTTCATCGGTTTCCATTTGGAGCCCTCGATCCTCCTTCAGATTAGCATGCCTCAATGTACGCACATTGATACAGATCGGTCCACAGGCAGCACTTGCCCGAACTTTAGAGACCCACTCCATCTATATCTGCTGCTTATCGGAGACCCGCCTGCAAGACTCGAGCTCTGTGCTCACGCTGCCATCCCCTTCAGGTGACATCAGCAGCACTTTCTCATTGCGCCTATCCGGTGACGATGCAGCTTCGAGCATCGGCCAAGCCGGTGTTGGCATTGCCCTGAGTCCCCGGGCTGAAGCTGCTCTGGTTGATTGGATTCCAATCAGTAGCCGGATGTGTGCGGTCCGACTGGCTGGCTCGTTTAAAGCTTCGAAGTCGCGCGGGACTAATAGGTGTCTTTTCATCATCGCTGCCTATGCACCCACAAACTGTAGCGATGATTCGGTAAAGAACGACTTCTACCGCCAACTGACTCAGCTCTTTCGCCACAGAAGAAGCACGGACACTGTTGTGCTGGCGGGGGATTTGAACGTTCAAGTTGAAAAATTATCTACTCATGAAATACATATGGGCGGTCAGCACGGTGTAGGTTCCCGTAATGATAGCGGTAAGCGGTTACTTCATTTGTGTGAAGATGCTCGTTTATTTCTTGCGAGCACTAATTTCCGACACTGCACCAGTCGGAGGGTGACCTGGCGCCCACTAACCTCGAACCAGCTATGGACGCAAATCCATCACATTGCAATCAGTTACCGCTGGAGAGGCTGCGTCCAGAACTGTCGCTCGATTTGGAGCACATGTGTGGACACCGACCATGCACTTGGAGGTGCTTACATGCGGATGCGTTTTGGCGGACGCCCATGACGACGCTGTGAGCGCATTGACACCAGCCAACTGACAAAGCCAGCTGTTCTGAATGCCTACCAAAGTACGCTGTCATGCGAGTTGAGTAAGCGCTCACTGGAGACAATTGAAGGTCACTGGTCACATGTTCACCAGACCTTACTTGCAGCAGGAAAATCCTCATATGATAAGTCTAATCGCCAACATGGACATTGGGTCTCTTCGCGGTCTCTGGAACTTATCGACTCTCGCCGGCATATCCCGGCTGGAAGCGAACACAATGAGACTCGCAGTAACCTCCGGAAAATCTCCGTGCTAGCCTGAAGAGAGACCGCGAACCTTGGTGGTCTCTTCGTGCGTCAAATCGAAGTAGTTGCTGCCAATGGCAACTATCGTAACTTATTGCGTCTGATACGGGAAACGGGCAACAGGAGACCTGGTGTTAGTGAAACAATTTATGACGAGAGTAGACAGCCTATCCACAACTTGTCAAAACGTTTGGAGCGTTGGGCTGAGCATTTTGAAAAGGAACTTAATCGGCCGGAATTGTTGGATTCCTCACGGACTAATGATCGCAACCCAGCCTGGGCTGTTCCTGTGGATCCGCCCTCTCACTCAGAAGTCAAATATGAGATCGCACTTTTGAAGTTGAACAAGGCCGCGGGATCAGATGATCTTCCTCCAGCCCTCTGCAAATTCGGGGGCCTTGCTCTCCTTGATGATTTACGCTTATTACTAGTGAAACTGTGGGGGCAGGAGACTGTCCCAACCGAATGGAGCCGCTCCGTTATTGTTCCCATCTTCAAAGGAGGCTCGCGTTCGGAATGCGGCAACCATAGAGGAATCAGTCTGATCCCCCTCGCCTTCAAATTGCTTGCCTCTGTCATTCTTCACAGACTGACTGGCACTCCTGAAAGGCAGGTTCGTGAGGAGTTGCATCGACCACATCTTCAGTTTGCGTCAGTTGTTGGAGCACTGTCACACATATTGGCGGCCCACCGTTGTCGTGTTCCTCGATATTAAACGTGCATTTGATTCGGTCGATAGATGTGCACTTTGGGACTGTCTACTCAGGAAAGGTGTAGCTGAGAAATAGGTAAATATTATCCGATCATTATACGCGCGTAGCTCAGGCAGAGTGAGGGCTTACGGCAAGTTGTCGTCGCCCTTTACTATCTCCAGCGGTTTGAGACAAGGGTGCCCGATGTCGCCTTTCCTCTTCAACTTCGCTATTGACGAACTCATGGAAATTGCGTTCACAGGACACGACTTAGCAGATGTGGATCTGCTCCCAGGAGAACGACTTCTTGACTTGGAGTGTGCGGACAATATTTTCCACATCTGTGACAGCTCCCAGACGTGCCAAGCTGCACTGGACAGATTAGCACTGGCTACCATCCACTTCGGGCTTTGCCTTGCACCATCGAAGTGCAAAGCTTTCCTCTAATATTGGCAGGGATCGCCTCCTGCGCGGACGCTTGTTGAGCATCTGCTAGAAGTCGTACAAAAATTCAGCTACCTGCGAAGTTGTATCAGCGCCCTTGGGATCGAAGATGAGATCACGAACCGTATAGCAAAAGCTCGAGGTGCTTTCGCTAGTCTTCGCCACCTATGGCGGCGGCGCGACTTCATCCTTTCCCTGAAGAGTAGAGTGTACAATGCAGCGATATGTTCGACCTTACTGTACGGTGGTGAAATCTGGCCCGTTAGGGCGGCGGACCTGAAGAGCCTTGTTACGTTCGACCACCGGTGCCTTCGTAATTTAGCTCACATCTGGTGGGGACACCTCATGAGCAACGAGCGTGCTCGATGCCTTGTTTACGGCACAGAAAAACAAACCTTTTCAAATAAGTAAACTTTTTTACTCCCGACAAATTCGAGGCACATCATTACAGGCATGATAATGTTAACGTAACAGAGTGTGGTTAAAAATATAAAAATAATGTTTTACATAGCAGTAAATGTATGTGTATGAGTGCATATGTGTATGTAATTGTTCTGTAAATAGCTGTGTAGGTTGTTCCTGTAAGTATGTTGCTGTCTTGTTGACTGTTTGATATCATCAGGAATTTGAAAATGAACGAATGATGTCCGTGGGTTTGATGGAATCATCCGGATATCCACGGGGCAGTGACTAGTTTGTGGCGAGTCACATTCGCCACGTCACAGTGATGCTAAACCGATATATATGGCTTTTTATAGGGAGAACGCTTGCCAGACGAAAACCCGTCACGTCCTGGTACACTGCCGCCGAACTAGTTGCTGGAACGGGTTTAACCCGAACCACCTAGCTGGCACC